TGAAACCGGTTTGGCTCACTGGATAGAGCGTTGGCCTGCGGACGGAAAGGTCCCAGGTTCGATTCCGGTCAAGGGCATGTACCGTGGTTGCGGGCACATCCCCAGTAGGGGGTGTGCAAGAGGCAGCTGGTCGATGATTCTCTCTCATCAATGTTTCTAACTCTCTATCCCTCTCTTCCTCTCTGTAAAAAATCAATAAAATATATTTAAAAAGAAAGAAAGAAAGAAAGAAAGAAAAAAGAGAGAGAATGGCCTTGCCGAGGAGCCTGGGGCTGCTGAGAACATCTGAGTCCTACGAGATGACGGATTCTCACCACCCTCTTAGCACATCTCATCGCCACCATCACCGAAGGGAAGGCCTTCCTACAGGAAGTTGATGTTGGGAACCAGATGGCACGTGACATGCTTCTCTGCACGTGAGAAAGGCTAAGATTGGAATTGTTCTGTAGTTCTGCCAAATAGGAGGAAAAATTCTACGCTGCACAGCCCTGCCTTACTTCCTGTGGTAGCTAACAGACGCTCAGAGGCTTAGGCTGGATGCAGGTGTAAAGCAGGGAGGATAGCAGCTCCTAACCCACGCGGATGTGGTGACCGTTAATCAAGACGATGCTGCATAAGGCACAGAGCCTGTCGCTGAGTATAGAGAAGAATAACTACAGTTGTTTTTAATGCTCGGATACAACAGGGAAGCCTTGTGTTTTACAAAGAGGAAGCTTTCCTCTTCTGAATCAGAGTGAGGGCCGGGGAAGGAGCACATGCCCCACAAGGCAGGGGATTTTAAGGAAAAGTGGGGGGCTCTCCAGCCTTTGTCAAGGGGCTGGAGTCAGTCTCGGGGTCCACGATGGCAGGGATGTTTGTTTCCATCAGACGTTAACTCTGCTTGGCTCTCCTCTTCTACTCTTCGTAGCCTCTTCCCTCTTCATATGGCCCCTTCCAGGAACAATGGGTTACCCCTGAGTCCAGACCCGAAGGAAAGTCTGCCTCCTGCACTAAGCCCTGCCTCAGTGGGCTCAACTGCCAAAGCAAAGGCAGCTGAGAAGGCCTTGGGAAGACTCCTGCTCTTTTTCTGCCCTGTCTATCTCTCTAATAAAAGACATTAAGTGATGCTCTGGAGTCCAGGTCTCCTCTATGACCACCAGGGGGCCGACATACGCTCACCACATGTTACATGAGTGACGACTAAAAAATCAAATGAGGAAAAAGTGAGACCGAGCAGATAACATGATGCTTGGGCAACACGCTCTCCCCATTACACCCCATTTCCAGTTCTTCCCAACACGATTCCACCGATCATTTCTAAGTGCCCCCTTGCTGGGCTGTCCTGTCTGCGAAGGCTCCCCGCCCATCATACCCAGCGTGGGTGTCCTCTCCTGGGACTCAGGATTCCTTTCTGACAATGGCATTGGTTGTGTCTACCTGCCCTTTTCAAACCAGACTTTCTCGTCTGCACACAAGTATGGCGGTGGCAATGCTTCATGTCTGGCAATAATGTGGGCGGTTCACAGAGGAACCGTAGGGAGTTGTGGTGGAAGAATTTCCTTAAGGAAGCTCGAGGAAAGTCTGCCATCATTATCTAGTTTGTGGAAACCAGTGCTGTGGCCCTACCCCTTTCCCTGGAGGATCCCCTGCTCTCTGCCAATGGCCATAATAGGGGACCGGAGTAGTAAGAACAATACTGGCTCCTCTTTTATCATCTCAGGGTCTTATGTCATCCCATCCCCAACACCATTCTGAGAAGTACTTGGCAATATTTCTCTGAAAATTATAAACCAAGGCTCTTGTGAGTTCCATGACTTGTTCTTGGTCACCTGACTGACAAACTGGAGGCTCAGAGTCTCTCTGTCCTCTGGTCCAAGCTCGTCCCCTGAGTGCTCCATGTAACGATGGGCAAAGGTGCTCCCGTGTTCCAGGTATTGAGGATAAGACAGGGCTCTGGCCCAAAAAGCCAGGAAGCTGATTTTATGACCTCTCCGCGGAGTGGTCCTATAGCCTCTCACTTCTCTGTGATGGGAGAGGGGATGGCGACTCACTGGGGGTCAGCGTTCACGTTTCCACGAAAACCACAGCTCTCCGGACCGCTTCTTCTGATGAGAAGCACAGGCCGGCTGCCCTTTGAAGCTGAAGCAGCCAGAGTGCTCTCCTCCTGGGCGCTTTTCTCCCAGCCCTGGGGACAGGCTAGTGGGAAACCTCCTGGCGCTCCAAACCCCCAAAGCATCCAGATGCCCGTCTTCCTCTAATTGGTGGAGGCCATTGTGCTGTGTTCCAAGGCGCAGCGGAGCCCGCAGGGCGAGCTTTGTGCCCGAGAGTCAGCCGGGTCCAGAGCGCCTCATTGGGATGCAGGGGGGACACCCCGGCTCCTCAACTGGGCCAGAGGAACAAAGGCGACATGGAAACTGGAGCAGGCCATGAATCCGCCACTCTCCACTTTCTCAAAACAGGATTCCGACCCTTCACTGAAGAACTTATTTTGTCCTTGTGCTCCAGACAAAGAGACAGGAAACTTCAGAGGAAAAAAGGGGCCTCGGTTTCTTACATGGTGGCCCAAGGAGGTTGGGGTCGCGGAGGGTGCTGGCAGGGGGCTGGCTTGGCCCCAGGGCTGAAGGGGAAGCCACTCGCCCCTTTTGATTGCTCTCAGAGGAGGTCACCTGGGAGCAGGGGGAAGCTGGGAACTAATTACCGGGAAGTCTGAACATAGATGCACTTCAATATTGTATTTGCGGCTTTCACATCCTCTTGCCAACTCAACACGATTGTTTCTTATTCTCTTCTTATAAAAATATGTTTTTATTGATTAGAGAGAGAGAGGAAGGGAGAGGGATAGAAAAGATGGAAACTCCGATGAGAGAGATACATCGATCAGCTGCCTCCTGCATGCTCCTTACTGGGGATGGAGTCGGCAACCCGGCCTGGGAATCAAACCATGACCTCTTGGTTCACGGGTCTACAATCAACCACTGAGCCACACCAGCTGGGCGACTATTTCTCATTCTTTATCTACTGCTCTAGGAAGGCCCAGGGAAAAACTCCTTTCAGACCCACGGAATTCCTTTGAAAATCAATCCATTTCCAGCTTGATCCCAGCTTCTGAAATGCAACTGCTAATTCTTATTTCAGGACTGCTGTTTATAACGGCGCATTTTGAAAATCGGTAAAACCCTTCAGTGATCATTTTGAGGACACTTCTCAAAAGTGTGACTCTCCACACCCTTGGAACGAACAGCTCAACAGCTACAAATTGATCTTACAAAAATACCTCCACAAGAAAGATCGGTGAGGGCAGTCATTGCTGCTCTTTTCACAATAGTAAAAACAAACACAGTAACAGGTGTATCTTAAGGAACTGGATGAATAGATGACTGTGTCTACATCCACACACTGAAAAGCACAACTATTATTGTCAAATGAGTGAAAAAAATGATTAAGGCCTTTTTCGAAATTACAAGGTAAAGTGCCACAGATAATTTTCATGTTTCCCTTATTGACTTAGCTGGAGCTTGTGCTGAATTTCCCAGGGGGAAAACCAAACCCCTAAACCGTATAGAAAATAGTCAGACATTTGGACCAACATGGACTGACCTTGAAAACATATCCAAGAGGCGGGCACTGAAAACAAGTTGAAAATTGTTTGTGTGCTTTCATGCACTTTTGTTTAAAATAGGGGTTCTCAATCTTGGCACAACTGACATTTGGGCAAGATAACTCTGGCAGGGGAGGGGGTGTGGGGGAGAGAAGGGAGTTGCCCTGTGCATTATTGGATGTTTTACAGCACCCCTGATCTCTACTAATAAGATGCCAGTAGCACCTCACCCCGGCAATGATGACAAACCAACAATGTTTCTGAACATCACTGAAGGTCCCCTGGGTTGGGAGTGGGGAGCAAAATCCCCCCCCCCCTCACCCTCTCCCTGAGTTGAGAACCAAAGGTTTAAAATGGTGACATATAGACAACTTCCGCTTGCACACTCTAGTCTAGAAGAAAGTCTGGAAGGATACTCGTGTTGTTAACTGCTGGGAGCCAGGCTTGGTCAGGAAAAGCAATGTTCTCTTTCTATTTTCCACATCTCTCTACTGTGCGATTGTTGTCACAAGTATATACGTCTTCTGCAATGAACTAGACTGCTATTCCATTCCCACTCATAGGCACGCACAGACGTCAGGATTCTCTTTGGAAAAGAGCGATAGGTGGGCCTCGCCTGGGAAGCCAGGTCCTTTGATAGGACTCAATGATGAGACATGATAAGCACCCGCATCAACTGGTTGCATAAAGTCTCACCAAGCCCCATGGTGAGACGGTGTCTGAGAGCTTGCGAGCGATGCGGGGAGTGTGAGATCCTCGCCTCCACTTCTGAATTGGATAGGCCAGCATCCTTGCACCCTCTGTGCCAGCCCCTCTCCTGCTCCAAGGAGCATCTAACACTTCCCTGGAACTTCAGGAGGACAGAGCACTGAGGCAGCAGTATGAACTTTATAGGATGCAATCAGAACAGGATGTTCTTTTGTAGGATGTACCAAAATACCTGTGCATGCCAGTGAGGAGGGACTGATGAAGACACTGTGGTTGCTCTGCCCTCAGAGGCCTTCTCACTCTCTCTGTAGGCCCCTTCCCACCCACTCCCTCCCCCAAGCTATCTTGTTTCACCTCCGTGGCCTGCACCTGCCATCTCTTTGATGCTCAGAGGCGAGTGGGACCACCTGGCCTGCATGCATAGGAAGCAAGTTATGTTCTCCCTGCCCAGGCCAGCCCTTAGCCAATCCCTGATTGCGGTGGGGATGGGCAGGCATGGCTCCCTTGCTTGAAAGCCAGGACTCACTCTGAGATGTGACTTATATCCATTTCTCACGGCCCGTGAACACTGGGGCTGGGGTTCTGTCCACATTGTGTGCCACCTCAGACAGACCAACCCAGACACCAAGAAACAGCGTATGTGGCAAGCTCCCTAGGCCCTCTCCACGTCAGCCCCCCCGGGACACGTCAGCTCCCACTCCCGAGGCACACTCACGGTTTTCACAGCGCCGCCCGGTGTAGCCTGCCAGGCAGGCACACCTGTAAGATCCCGTTTGGTCAACAAGGCACGTGCTGTCATGGAAACAAGGGGACGAGGAACACGCTGCAAGAGAAAAGGCAGTTTCAGTGCCACTGTGTGGCGTGTCCATTTCTTCAAGCCTGGGGTCTTGCAAACAGCACACTCATGACGAAAGCAGAAGCACCTTTCACCCCCGCAGAGGGACTCCAGGGTCAGAGCAGCCTTGGGTAGCTTTATTTTTAAATATATATATATATATTATATATATATATATATATATATATATATATATATATACACACACACACACACACACACACACACTGTTTATTGATTTCAGAGAGGAAAGGAGAGGGAGAGAGATGGGAAATATCAATGATGAGAGATATAGTCATTGATCAGCTGCCTCCTGCACTCCCCTTATTGGGTGGGGATCGAGCCTGCAACCTAGGCATGTGCCCTTGACCAGCATCGAACCATGACCCCCTGGTTCATAGGTCACAGCTTAACCACGGAGCCACACCAGCTGGGCATCATTGGGTAGATTTAGAGCATCTTTTTCAAGGAACCCCAGCATCCTGGATTCTTGGGGAAAGGAAGTGGAAGGTGATCTTCGGGACACTGTTGAACATGTACTCAAGAACTCCCAAAGACACATTGTTCGAACAGTAGTCCCTTGAGATGGTGAGAGTTCTGGGCTCACATATGGTGGGGAAACAGGACTAGTATTAAAGGGCATTAACTGGACTTCCCTTCTGCAGAACTTCTCGGAATGCAATCCAACCCCAGACGATGAGAGCTGGACTGATCCCTTAAGATGGAGCACTTTGTTCCCTTTTACTAAATCCGTCTTCCTAACCCGGACAAGGCAGCAGCAGGCAAAGTCAGGCTTAAAGTTAGTTATGCATAAAGCAAGTGGCATTTACCTACTTTACGGAGGGCAAAGCGGGGCTCAGAGCACGCCTGGTGTAGGGCAGCTGTGGAGTGCTTTCTATGGACCAGACTCCCTGCTCGGCCCTCCATCTTTCTGTCTCCCAGAGCCTTCTTAACGGAGCAGGATCTACCGTTAGTAACTTAGTCACTGCTTGGGAAATTGTAGCCCCAGAAGTAAAAGAACTTGCCCAAGGTCACCTGGCTTCACCTGCCAGAGATCCAAAGCTAATGTTCGTAACCACGGCAGGCCCCCCAGTGGGAGCTCCAGAGCCAAATTGCTTGTGTATAAATCTCCGGTTCCACCCCCATAGCTGTGTGACCTTGGACAAATTACCCTGCCTCTCTGTGCTCCAGGAGGTAACAATCCCTAGTTCTGGTTCCCGTGAACATTTCTGAAATATACCTCACCACTCCTCTCCTCCTGCTCAATGTTGGGGCTCTTCTGAGACCCCAGCGTGCCAGGTCGGAATAAGGCTGAGCAGGGAGGGGAGCAGTACATAGAAAGCAGGTGTCTGTGTGCAAAGCGCTGCATTTGTCTCTGTGGCCCTTACCTGTGATCTCTTCAAAAATGGCATGGAAGCCATCGAAATTCTTGGAGCCATCTGAGTGGAAGAGGATGTGGAGCGAGGAGCCCGTGCTCCTGATGGGAGCTGGCCGCTCATTGCCACAGAAACGCTTGATGATCTGGCCATCGCTGTTGTCCCCGTCACGGACCTCCACGTAGTCATACTGGCACATGTAGTCAAACTCCAGGCTCAGCATGACAAACCTGTGGGTGGAGAAGGTAGGCCTGAGAGCCCTGGGCGATTGGAGGCCAAAGGATACATAGGCCTCTGGAAATTGGGTGCCACTGGCCTGGTCAGATAGCAAACTGGTCCTGGAGGGCTTGAGCCAGATGAACATTTGTAGTGGACAGGTGTGTGTACATACACTGCGCGCATGTGTGTGCACACACAGAGCATGCCCAGGTGAAGGGGTGCCGTATGCTATTCAGGGAACCTCCCTCTAGGAGGCCTCCCTGATGACTCTTTCCAAAGGAGACCCCTTATTTTCTTCATGATGTATATACAAATTTTCTCTTCTCGTTTTTATCTCCTTGGTATGTGTGTGCGCACGCATGCCTGACTCCTCCACTAGACTGCAAACTCCTTGAGAGCAGAGTGGGGCATCTGTCTTATTCCAGTGCCTAGAGAGGAGTAGGAGAGGTGACACAGGAGGCAGAGAACAGTTCTTTCAACAGTTCTTTCAACAGCCCCTGAGGGGTACCACGTTCTGTTCCAGGCACTAAGACCTGTTCCAGGCATCCGTGAACATTCTCACCATCAGGACTCTCCTGTGCTACTTCCTCACAGTTACAATAAAACCAGGTCTCTACTGTGGACTAGGGTACAAATTAAATGTTTGCATGGACCTCAAAGCCCATGAGAGAAACAACTTATCTTCCACACAAGTGAGAGAACTGGTTCATTTGTTGGAGGGGGTGGGGAGTGGTGGCTGTTTTCTGAGAACATCAGTGAAAGGATTTGTGTCAAGTGTGAGCCCCGATCTTGAGTCTAAATCCCCTGAATTTTAGACCTGCGCCGCCCTTTAGTTCTTCACTTCCCTCCCATGGAACCCAGCCCGGCAGTCTGAGAACAGGAAGACTGGTTATGATCTGGGCATGAGTAGATGGCTCTCAGGATCTTGCTTTGTTGTGTTGTCTTTGGGTAAAAATCAATGGAGCCCCACTGTTGTAAGGCAGTGAATGCCAGCATTTAATTGGCCATCGTGTTGACCAGGCCTTATCCCACTAAATCAATGAGAGGTTAAAGAAAAAGGCTCCAATATACATTTTCTGCCTTTGAGGATAACATGCTGATGCTTAGTTAGCCCCCTGGGTCACTAGGATCCAGCGCCCTCAGTCCCATTACTGTGTTTCCTCATAAGCCTAGCCACTTACCTTAGCTGGATGTTAAACCCAGGTTTGGCATGAATGGTCCATTCGCAGTGAGCATTTAGCGGGTAGCTCTCCAGAAAAATCTGACCCTTCGATGCTCGCAGAACCTGGCCACATCCTGGGGAGAGAAGATTGGGCATGGGCATTGGAGTCAATAGAAAAGAGATGCTCATTCCACACCCTGAGGATGAAACGGAGAAGGGAAGAACTATTTCTGAAGCACCTAGCGATGCTTAGGTTTTAATCCACCCAGCAGCTTGAGAAGGGAAGGGGCATCGTTCTAGTGTCCCAGCTGGGAAAATGGATACCTAGAGGAATAACTGGCCTAGCTATTGAGTGACAGAGGAGAGATTCAATCCTGACTGTGTCTGACTATCCACAAGCCACGCTGTCACCCCCCTTCGCTGAGATGGCCAAAGGCCAGCCTGCGGTCTCCACCTCCATGAGCTCTGGAAGCTGACCTTCCCCACACCTCTCTGTAGGACACGATGGCTTTTGTCCCAACTCTCCACCTACACATGACTGTTTGGTCTGTGTTCCCTCCACCTTCTTCACCCCACAAATAGAGCCCCAAAGCTACTCTTTGCTGAGCCCCTTCATCCAGTTAGAAAATTAATTTGTCTATGACCAATTATGTAATCAATGCCTCACTAATGCGTGATACTGGAGGGTGGACACAGTCTCTAACCAGTTGGACTGGATTAATGGTTTTTTGGTTTTTTTTTCTAGTTTCCAACCCCCTTTTCTCAAACAAACTTATGAAAACTGTCAATCACACCATGGGCCCAAGAAGGGTTCTGGGTTAAAGCAGAAGCAGAGACCCAAAGCCCTCCGTCCTCATCATCACCCTTGTCCCCTGAGTTGCCTACAAGGGAGCTCTAAGATTTGAAAACCACTGGAAAAGCACAGGTATGTAAGAAGCACCTAGTTGTTTTTTTGTGTGTGTATGTTTTTTTTAAAAATATATTTTATTGATTTTTCACAGCGAGGAAGGGAGAGGGATAGATAGCTAGAAACATCGATGAGAAAGAATCATCGACCAGCTGCCTCCTGCACACCCCCCACCGGAGATGTGCCCGCAACCTTGACCGGAATCGAACCTGGGACCCTTAAGTCCGCAGACTGACGCTCCATCCACTGAGCCAAACCGGTTTCGGCAGAAGCACCTAGTTTTATGAAAGAGTTTTGGGGAAATGTTTTGAATTGGTTTTATAGAAAAAACTACCTAAGTCATGTAAATAAATATTTTCTACAAGAGTTGGCCATCTATGATCGTGGACCAAAACCAGTGCCTGTTCTTGTAAATAAAATTTTATTGGAACAGAGCCATGCTTGTTCTTTTATGCAGTGTCTATGGTCACTCTCAAGCTCATAACATCAGAGTTGAGTAGTTGCAACAAGAGACAAAAAGATGAAAATATTTACTATCTGTTCCTTTACAGAAAAAATTTATCCCTGGTCAATTAGAAATCCAGATCTATAATCCTTTTGCTAGAGCTGGGATCTTTTCTAGCCTGTACACCTAGAATGGTACCTGGCATATAACAGGTGCTCCATAGATAGGTGTTGATTGGCTAAATGATGATATCATGATAGGCCAGGCACTAGCCAAAAGATTCATAAACATTCTCTCCTTTAATCCCCATGAGAAACCAATTCACCTCCCCATTTCCCAGATGTGAACACTAAGGATGGGACTTCCCCAAGGCCAGATGGCCAGGAAGTCCGAAGACTGTCAATCACTGTTCCAACAGGAAAGCCCTGGTGAATCTGGAGACCTCAGCATCCTCCTACCCTTGGCTTGAAACATTACCTTCTCTGACTCTGTGGCCTTGAGCAAGCTACTCCATCTCTCAGAACCTCAGCAAACGAGGATAAAACTTCATCATAAGGATTGTGAGACTTGAATCAAGTTACGCACAGAAAGCCCTCAGCAGAAAAATCAGTAAACACTAGCGGGCCACGAAGCGGGGCCTTGAACTTGAGTCTGTCAAGGACCAATGCTGGATCTTGACTGGCAACTTAAACTGCCTTCGGGGCTTCCTGACCCAGCGCCCTCCCACCTCCCACTCCATTTGGAGGAGAAGAATCTTTCTTCCCTATCCTCCCCCCGCCCCCCCAAAAAAAGATACGCTGGCTCGTCACCACTCCCCCTGCTGTTCTAGAGTGCACGTTCCTCCTTCCTGCACACCTCACGCTCCTCCTCGCCCACACTCATTTGCTGCCCGGCTACGGAAATGATGTGCTGGGTGTGAAGGCCAGAAAAAGAAACCTTCGTGCACAGCCTCCAGCCCTGGGACTGGAAGCTGCCCAACCGCCAGGCGTGAAATCTCAGCTCCCACAGCAAACCTTCTGCAGGGACCCACGCCAGAACCAGCAGCAGCATTTGCCCACGTGCAGAAGCTGGAACCAGACAGCAGCATCCTACATTCCCCCCATTTTCAGGGGGAGCCGCTGCCCAGCCCTGGTCAGGTCTCCTGGGCAAGAACACTCAGGCATGGGCACGTCCCAGGATCTCACACAGCCTGTGGAGGGCTCTAGCCCCAGCCCCACCCACACGCCGGCCCCCGACTGGCCATGTGAGCTGCTAGACCACTTGCTCCTGCAGGCCCAGGGCTGTCCCTCAGGAGCCAACATCCCAAACCATACTGGCCACCTTGGTTACGTTTCATGATGTTTCCTTCTCACTGCAGAGGGGAGGGCAGCGTGGACACCAAGATGGGGGACAGGTTCCAAGAGGCCACTTCTCAGCAATGTGCGTGGAGGAGGGGTATCGGGTCCAGGGGAGAGGAGGAAGGAACCCTGCTCCCACCCCACACAGGGGCTGCTCCAGCTCCCTTTTGCACTCTGTCCCTACCAGGGGAGGTGGCGGGCTGCGTGCAGGGTACGAGCTGCACCTCTGTCTCGGGCAGAACAGTGAGCCCAGCTGAGTGTCCCGCCAAGGAAGTACTGCTGGCCAACCTAGCAGGTGGTCCTGTGTCTGAAAGACCAGGGCGGGCAATGGGCCTGGGATCCGTGCTCAGACTCTCTGAGAATGTCTTGCTGCAAAGGAGGAAAGGGCTGTGTGTGTGTGTGTGTGTGCGCACACACACACACAGCCCTTTTGCCAGCAAAGTCAGACTGTCCACTGGGCTCTTAAATCTTGGACTCATCTTCAACCCACCCACCCACCTAACCACCCACCACCCTTCCCGGTTGCTACAAGCCAAACAAACAGGAGCGAGCCGGAGAGGCCCTGCTTCTGCAGAGCTGAAAGAACTCTAAACGAGGAAGGGAGCTGGAAGGCTCCCAAAGACACGGACACCCGCAGCGTTCAGACAGAAGTCTTGTTGTCTCCAGCACGGAGGGGGTCGGGGGCCGGAGAGAGACACAACATCCTTCTGAGAAGCGGCTGAGTTTCTTTTTCCCCCCCACTGTAATCTTTCCTCTGGAGGAAAAGAAAGCACTGAGGAAAACGCTCAGATTCAGAAAGGGAACTGCACTTTCTTCCCTCCTTCAGAGGCGGCTCGGGAGACAGGACTCAGTGGTGTAGTGGCAGCCTGGGGAGCTGCCTGGGTCTGACCCTCGGGTAAGCCTCTGACCAGCTGTGTGAGCCCAGGCAAGCTCTCCAGATTTTCCCAGCCGAGGGGCTTCCTCATTTGGAAATAAGAATAATAGCAGCACCGACTGCCATGTTGTTATTTTTCTATTGGTTTGTTCTGAGGGTCAAATGAGATAGCTATTCTATCTACAGCACTCAGCATGGCGCCTGGTCCATAGAAATGCTCAATAAATGGGAAGCAATGCTGTTTCTCTTGAGTCTTGTCTAGATCTGAGACACTATTTTGGTACAAGGATGACAGGGACAGCCCAGGTTCTGGCCACTGCCTCAGGGATCCTAAGAGCCTCGTTACATCATTGGCTGGAGCCCTAAACCCATTAGGCCCAGGATCCCAGGCAGTGATGGCAGAACCAACGCCTGGATGATGACATGGGAATGGCCCATGCACCCGGCCAGGAGTTGGGAGAAAGCTCTCACTTTCAACGTGATTTGGTTCATCATACCATGACCTGCAGGCCCCCGGACAGGCCCTCAGATGAGGAGTGTCAGTGCCTCTCACCTCCAGAAGGGATTTGGTAGAGAGGGGGAGAGTTTGGGCTCTCAAGTGGCATCTTGGTGCTGCCATTTCCAAGCTGCGTACAGACAGCAGGAATATCATTTAACCCCTCTTTGACTCAGTGTCCTCCCCCGTAAAATGGCTGTGCTGAAGATTCATGAGTTAGGGCATGAAGGTACAGAGAAGATGCCCGGTTCACAGTCAGTGCTACGTGGTGGCTTTTATGGAGGGAAGGGGGGCCCTCAGGTCTTCTTTAGGAACAACCAGACGTCCAGGAGTGACTCCACAGCTAACTCCATGATGTGGCTGATAATCCCAATCAAGTTGATACTTTATACAAATTGTTTTATATAACTGGTTGCCTCTCCCATGACACAGTGCTGAGAGACCAGGGACTTTGCCTGTCATGTTCCCGTCTGTATAGCATTGAGTAGGTGTTCAATTAACTGAATGAATGGCTGTGCAAGATAGAACCAAACATCTGCCCAGTCAGACCATTTTTAAAGCCCCTCCCCCCTGTACCAAATGGTCTGTTCATTTAGTTGAAACTGTGGTCCAGTAAGAATAGCATCAGTTGCAGAAGGTCTTTTTCTCTTTGGTTATTTGCAATGAACACACACTGAGAAAACCCTGCCAATCCAATTCAAAAGACAGGATCTGGACTAGGGTAGCACAAAGGACATCGAACGCTAAATATTTTCAGTCTTTTTTTCCTCTGTGCTTCAGCTTGGTTTATTTCTATTAAACCTGTGTTTAAGTTCCCTGCTCCTTTCTGCTGTTGTGACCAACTGGCTGTTAATCCCCTCTGATCATTTAAAAAAATATTTAAATAGTATAGCTCTCAGTTGTGGGATTTCCGTTTGGTTCCTTTTAACACTTTTCAAATCAATTTTGAAATTTCTCTTCTTCAATTGTATTAACATTTTACTGTAAACCATTTAATATATTTATTTTTAAATCATTTAAAAATCCTTGTCTGAAAATTCCAGTATTTTCTCATGTGTGGTCTGTTTCTTTGGAC